CAGGCAGCCCTGGGGTGAAGGCACTGTGCCCTAGAGAGCAGGCAGCCCTGGGGTGAAGGCACTGTGCCCTAGAGAGCAGGCAGCCCTGGGGTGAATCTGCTCTGGGTGCTGGTTAGAAGATCTGCCATGTGTCGAGGGCCTAATGTGTTCCATTAGGCTGGGTGGATGAATGTCAAGTCCAACCACGAGCTTGTGGTTGAAGTGACTGGACTCTCCAGGCAGAGTCATCATGGATGCTGTGGTGTCCTCCCTCCCCCACCTTCACCCTCTCCACTCACCCATCCCCCCCTTTATCCATCCAACTCTCCATCCATCCACCCAGTCTCCTACCTGTCCACATAGTCATCCACCCATCCAACACCTTGAGTGGAGAAGGAAATACAATTCCTGTATTTATCCACTTTATTTATCTTCTCCCATTTTTTACTTCATTTTATATTCTATTAAACTATAAATCCCGTACCACAAGATGCCCCATTTTAAACTGTACAATTCAGTGGGTTTTGGGTTTTTTGTATAGTCCCAAGGTTGTGAAAGTGTCAAGACTATGTGATTCCAGAACATTTTCACCCTTTCCAAAGGAAAGCCCTTCTCCCTAGGGGCACGCCTCATTCCTGGGCTTCCTTCCTGGCAGCCTTTAGCCAGCTTTGTCCATGGATTTACCATGCTAGACATTTTATAGTGATAGGCTCAAACAATAGGAGTCTGGGCCTGTGTATTTTTGTCCTTCAGTGCCTGCCAGGTGGCTGTATGTCACTGCAGATGCTGGTTCTTCATTTTCAAGTCTAATGACCAGCTGGAGAGGGAGGCATAGAGGGAGAACAAAAAATATATACCACTATTGTCATCAAGACTTAGCTGGTTTTCTTGAACCTGGTGTGCTGGAAGATGTTCAAGATGCTCAAGGAGTTCTAGAAAATGACTTGAACCATTGTTGGCAGATTTCTCATTGTTCTGTGAAAGAGAGGTTTTAAAGGACCTCACTTTGGGCCCTCCATGCTGGCGCAGCGGGTTAAAGCACAGCTCTAAGAAGCTAAAGCCACTGCAGCACGAGTTCGATCCCCACCCCGGAGGTGACCCACATGGCGTGGCAGACCTCTCCTGACCCGCCCGCTGCTCCCCTCAGCAGTGTACTGCCTGTCGATCTGCCTGTTCTGCTCCCCACTCTGTCTCTGGTGAATCCTTTCACCACCTCTGCTCCCCAGGCCTGTACCCTAGTTCTATATGCATGAATAAATAAATCCTTAAAAAATAAACAGAAGTAAAGGTCCTCATTTACCATTTCCCTGTCTTTCCTGCATGAATTGTTCTGTGCCTTAAACACCTCTCTTTTCTCTTTGCGCCAGCCAAATGGAAGAAGCCCTTTGCCCCTGCAGACACAAGGAACAGCTTCCCGTTCCTGGTGGACAAGAGGCCCTGTGTGCGGGTCCCCATGATGCACCAGGTGGAGGAGTTTGCTTTCGGGGTGGATCTGGAGCTGAACTGCTCGCTGCTCCGGATGGACTATAGTGGGGACACCAGTGTCCTTTTCATGCTACCAGGCCAGGGCAGGATGAGGCAGCTGGAACAGGCCTTGTCAGACAGGAGGCTGCAGAAGTGGAACCACTTACTCAGGAAGAGGTGGGCATCCGTGTCACCTGGCTGAGGCCTGAGGCAGGTGGCTCTGTACTTCCAGGACGGGGGGAGACTGGGATAAAGTTGTGAATGTCCATTCCTGTAAATTGAGCCCCAACTACACGCTAGTCAGTGAGCAGAGCTGTGCCCTGTGTTCTCACTCAAACCTCACTGTCTCCTGCAGGTAAGAGGTGTTACCACTCCTCATTCACAGATAACGAAATAGGGGCTCTGGGGCGGGAGGTGAGCTGCCCAACGTCCTGTTCATTTGTGACAACAAGCTATTACTCATGGTAGGTAGTTGAGCGTGGAATAAATCCACAAAAGCAACCCCCCACAAAAATCACCAAAAAATGAGGATAATATTACCGAACTGTAGATTCCTACAAAGACAATTACTGTTTATAAACTACTGAGAAGAATTCCTGGGAGAGAGTAAGTGTTCAGTGTCCAAGGTGAGGTCATTAGTTCTGTATTATGGGAAGCAGCGAAAGGATGTTAGCCATAAAGTAAGAAGGGGTGTCAGTCTAAGTACCATCTCTTAGTCACATTTTCTTGGCATTGTTGGTTCATTCCCAAATGTTCATATTCTAGAAGAGACAGGGTTAACTGATTCCAGCAGATCAGTGGGGGGTGAGGGGGGCCAGGAAGTAAAGTGTGAAGGAGTTTCTAAGCCAATGGGACCATTTCCAGCTGGGATTGAGGGACACCTTCAAGGAAGGGCTGGTATTGGGATCACTGTGAGGATGTGAACTTACGGAGGCTTGGGAGGGGCATTACTGTTGGGGGGAACAGCATTAGCAAAGATGCAAAGGCAGGGATCCTGGTATGCTGTGGGATGTTTCTAGGTTTTCCCCAGCTTAGATTGCCTCCAGGGTGAGATAAAGGAAGCAGAGGCACCTAGGAGGCTGGGGGGAGGCTGGAGCACCAGGCAGCTGGCAAAGCCCAGAGAGGATGGTGAATGCCCAGATGCCCAGCCAGAGCCGGAAACAGGGGTGGGCTGGGGGGGGAGAGAGAAGAGCGCTGTCCATGGTGCCCAACGTCACAAGGTCATTGATGAGGACAGACGCGTCCTCCAGCACTTTTATGACTCAATAAGTAACTGACCTTGAGCACAGCACTAAACCTCAGCTCTGCCATCTTGAGGGTGGAGAGAATGTTCATGGACATACCTGGGACAATATCCATGCTGTAAATGCATAATAGCAAGTACAGACAGTTCACTCTTGGTGCAGGGAAAACTCTGCAAAGGGAAAAAGACATTGTGTCAGCTCTGGGCTGTGCTGTCCAACAGAGCATCCACCAGCCACATGTGGTTATTTCAATTTCATTAAATACAATGAAAAATTTTAGTTCCTCATTGGCACCAATCACATCTAAGTCGCTCAGTAACCACATGTGACTCGTGGCTGCCATATTAGACCACACGGATACAGACATTCCCAGCTTTAGAAAGGGCCACTGGATTTTGCTGCTCTATGACAGCGCAGATTTGTCACCGGAAGGGATGGTGGGAGGGAGCCCTGCGAGCCAGAGGGGCAAGTGCCTCCAATGGCTTCCGCCATAGCTCCAGGCAGGGCCCCTTCTCGGCTCGGCCCCATTGGGGCCCACTTTTCATCCCACACATCTCAGGGCCGGACTGGCTCAGCGGGAGGCTGACCCCCAGAGCTCCCGAGGTGGAGGCAGGGGTTGTCTGGGAGGTGCTTGCCCCCATAAGCAGCAGCCAGCAAGGCCTGGGACGGCACAGTGTCCTGAAATGCCACTTAGGAGATATGGAGACCGGGCTGTGACCTCACCTTCCCTCTCCCCTTCTCTGCAGGTGGGTGGAGGTGTTCATGCCCAAGTTTTCCATTTCCGCTTCCTATGACCTGGAGACCATCCTCCCAAAGATGGGCATCCGAGACGCCTTTGGCAAAAACGCTGATTTTTCTGGGATCACAAAAAGAGACTCGCTGCAGGTTTCCAAGGTGAGTTAGTCAATAGGGCATTCACGCCGGAGCCCACCTTGTAAGGGCTGGTAGAGGTGGGCTCATGGAACAGGGGCCAGGAAGTGGTGCCCAGGAGGCAAGAGCACTTCCTGGTGGCCAGAAGTAGGATGGGCCTCAGGACAGTCAGGCGAGCGTGGCCCGTGCAGTTCCTCCGTGCACCTCCGGTCCCTTCTCAGGCACAAGTCCCGAGGTGCCAACTCCACTTCTCTGGGTGCTGGCCTCCTGGGCAGGTGGTGCTGTTGCCCCAGTGCCTGCCGCCAGCAAGCAGCAATGCCCCCAGCTCCAGTCACACCCTGAAGCTTAGGTCCCCCCCAAAGTCATAACTTGCCAACCTGGAGTACCCGTAGCTGGGTGGTTTTCAGCCCACAGTGACTGGATATTGACCTCAAAATCTAGATTTCTAATTCTTTTGCAGAAATTACTGAGCCCAATTCCCCAACATGGCACCAGGGAGCCGAACCTCCACTCAGCAGGGACTGACCAGCACTAAGCCAAGGGCACCCCTTTTAGCCAGAGTGCACCTTCCGGGTCCCCCCCAGGCCTCAGGCTCCTAAGTACCCTCATCTATGGCCTCCTGCCCATGCCTTTCTGGTTTCTGACCCAAATATTTATTCTGATAACAGATTTCAGGGTCAGGAGTGACCTGGGGTGACCGAAGGCTTAGTCACCCACCGGTATCTGGGGAGGAGCGCGAAGAGGTGTCACTATGGGAAGGTTCCTTTTCCCACAAAGGACCTTTTCCCACAAAGTGTTTCTGTCGCCCTGTGAAAACTGACTAATTGTCAGCAGTTCTCACTCCCTCTGGCTCTTTGGGGTACCTGAACCCAGGTTAAGAATCTCTTCCCGGAAGACAAGAGCGGCTCTCTGCTGAGGGAAGCCTGGCCTATGTCCCCCCCAGCGACCCACTGTGGCTCTCGCAGGCCGCTGTGAGCACGCACCCTGGGCTCATCAAACACCTGTCCTGCGTGTGCGGGCCCCACCAGCCTGCCCTGGGTTTGGGAAGCGCAGCCTGCAGCACCTAAATACCAGCTGCACCCACAGATGGCTGAGCCAGACGCAAGCCAGCAGCAAAGTCCTGCCGCTGTGCGTGTCACCCGGCAGCACCCAGAGGCCAGTGGCACAAAGGCTGTGGTGGACGGAGGGGTCCAGTGAGGGCCTTTGGTGTCTGTCGCCTCGAAGCTCTCGAGGGGGCTGCCCCCACTCCTGGGAAGAGGACAGAACCCAGGTAAGCACAGGTGTCATCACAGGCATTGCTTTTCCCTCGGCAGGCTGCCCACAAGGCTGTGCTGGACGTCGACGAGGAGGGCACAGAGGCCGCGGCCACCAGCGCCACCAAGCTCGTGGTCCGGTCGAAGGGCAGGCCCGCCTCCCACACCATCACCTTCAACATGCCCTTCCTGCTGCAGATCACTCACGGGGCCACAGGCACCCCTCTCTTCCTAGGGAAAGTGACGGACCCCACTAAATTCTAGTGGCAAAAAAGCCTGCTGACTGAGTCCATAGCAACCATGTGCTCCTGGGGTGATGAGAGCTTGGGGTCCTCGTGTTCTGAGGGTCGCTAGCCCCAGCAGAGCTGTGCGCCCACCCAAGATGCCACTGTGAGTCTCCATCCCCTAAAGTCAGCAGAGATCTTATCACAAATCAACAGTCGTGGTCTTTCCCGAGCGCTCCTGGCAATGACCGTGAGTTCTTCCCGGGCTGGCGTCCGTCCAGTCCTGGGGGCCCCTGGGAATGGGAACGGGGGCTGGCAGCGATCCACTCAATAAACCTGCACCGCGAACGCAAGCAGTGACGCGTGCTACCTAACAGGCCGGTCTGAAGTGGCTTAACCGCCAGCTCACCCTGACTCCGGCCCCTGTGGCATTTCATGGCTTTGTGAGTGGGTGTGTTTCTTCACCCATTCATTCAACTAAGATTTACTCACCACCTCCTATGTGCTGGGAGTGAATCAGACAGACGCGTCCCCAGCCAGGGGGCCTCGATGGGAGGACAGACCACCAGGCACCCGAGAAAAACGGGATTTTTCTCAAGAGGCGCCCAGCACTGTGAGGACAGTGACGAGGCTGAAAGTGGGTGAAGGGGGATGGGTGCTCCTGTGCGCAGGAAGGAGCAGGTCTGTGGGAGCCACAGGAGGAGCTTGAGGCTGGAGGGGAGAACCCGAGGCTGGAGGGGAGAACCCAGGCCAAGGTCAGGCAGGGACAGGGAGTCCAGCTCGTGAAGAGTGGGACTGGCCAAGGACTGTCTGAGTGCGGAGGGGGCGCCCTGAGCCAGGGGGTTTCCAGGCAGGGACAAGGGCAGGTCACAGCTTGGGCAAGTCTCCCTGTGGGGACTTGGGGTGGGCTCTCTGCCCTGTTCCACCCCAGTTCTTCCAGAGCTGCTGCCTCTGACGCTGTCACACGTGTGCACACGTACACACACGCACACACACGTGCACACGAGGCAACGGCGACTCCACCTCCCTCCCTGCATCTCTGCCAGACGCCATTCTGGCCCCTTCCACGGCACCTGCATCACGGAGGGCGTCTCCTGCAGCCTCTGCTGGCGTCCACGCTCCCAAGAGTTCCAGAGACTTCTGGGGTGCACTGGTGCTACAACCAGCTCAGATGTGCAGGGAGCCTCGTGTTGGCTCTCCCAAGCTCTTTTACACAGAAAAGAAACAGAAGAAAATGATGCGGAAACAATGCAGATATTTCAACGGAGGCCCCTGCCCCCCCCCGCCCCATACACCCGCTTTATTTTACAAGTCGGAAAACGAGAATCAAAGAGCGAAGACCACCCCCACCTCCCCTGGGCAGAATTAGAGTCAAAGAGTGAGCCCAACCTCACTCTTTGAAATACCGCTTGTCCAGACTTGGCCCTATCACAGCACTCGGGCCTGCTCCAAGTAAAAGCACAATCGTAGTCGCCAGCTCCCAGGGCGGACAGCAGCAGGATGGCCGGTGAGGAGGATCGGCTAAGGGTGCGCTGTGACCCACGACTCCCAGCAAGTTCTCGTAGCTCTCGTTGGGGTCATGGCCAGGTGAGGGCTATCTGTTTCCTTCCCACCATCTCGCTTCAGGCTGGCGGGGGTGGGGAGGGCACAGTACAATGAGAGCCACTCTGGTGTCCACGCAGACATACCCCAGAAGGCACGAGAGCAGTCACAGGGCAGCCCCGGCCCCTGGAGAGCTCTCAGGTCTGCTCTTGCCAATGTCTGTCCTCTGCATTCATTTTGAACTGTATCCAGGTTTGTTTAAATTGGGCGCAGCAAGAGGATGAACAGAGGCCACGGCCTCTGCAAAATCTGCATTATTTTAAGGCCCCAGGCGGAGAGGGATCCCGGCCCACACGAGGGGGCCCATGGAGAGCCCCTCAGGCTGGTCAGAAGGCAGAAGGAGCAGCAGCTGTTGAGAGGACACTTACCAGAGGGAGGTGCAGAGCAGTTTCTTGGGGCGCCCCCTCCCGGTCAGGAGGGGAAGCGCAGGTGTTGAGGCAGGTGGTGGGAAGGTCAGTATGAGACTTAGCTGTGCCGGGCAGCGCACCAGTGGTCAGTGGAAACTGCTTTGGTCTTTAGCTTTGGCTCCTGAGGTCAAGATGCCAAGTCATTAATCACAGACTATTGAGAGTGATTATTACAAAATTGCATGAAAGTTTCACTGCGGCAGAAGTGACACTATCCTGAAGGCAAGCTCAGCTAACTTTTGTTAGGGCTCAGGGGAAAGTTTTCACACGCATTATAGTTTCTCCCAAGGCTGAACAGAGGAACAACTCAACAGACCAGAGGGAGGAAAGATCAGCATGTAACAACACACATGCAGCAAGTTTACATGGCTGTAAATTCTCTATACTAACGCAATGGATTCGGGGTATTTATCTTGTATGGGGGAACTGTGGGGCCCAGGAGGGGTTGACATCACGTGACAGGCAAGAAGACAGCTCACCCTAATGTTGAGTGATGATGAGATTCCCGGATAGAGACACACGTTCACAGCTGAACCTACGATTGGAGAAGGCCCAATCCCCCCGAAACACATTCTTCTAGGTCACAAAAGGGGAGTGGTGGTTGCCTCTCCCACTGGGAAGAGGTCAGATGCTCAGGACGTGATGGTCCCTTTGTGATCAGGAACGAGAAGGATGAGGTGAAGGCAGACTTCTCCCCTACTCTGCAGGCCAGAGCGGGGATCGGAGGAGACCAGGCCTGACTCTTGGGGGGTCTGGCTTCACATGCTCCTTTTCTAGTCACTGTGAGGTGACAAGATCTCCTCAAAACATTGACACTAGCAAAAAGAATGCAGGGTCAGGGTGCGGGCACACCCACCCCCACACAGGGGCACCCCCATGCAGGGTCCCTGGTCAGCCCACGTGTCTTACCCTCCAGTCAGTCACCTCATCACTGGGAGATCACTTGACAACCCACCCATTAGGCTTATCAACATCAATCCCTCTGGTTTCTTTTAGTCGAGGTGTAATCAACATAGTCTTTTTATTAGTTTCATGCACACATCTGACATTTGCACGAGTGTGAGATTGTTCCCACCGTAAGTAAGCCCATTTCCCATCTCCCCTAAGATCGCTCCAGGGTGCAGAACTATCTGACTGACGGCTGCGGCGACGGCAGTGCGCCACGACCCGGGACTTGTCTGTTTCATGCCAGACATCCGACTTGTTGATTCCCATCACCCTTTCACCCACTCTCCACCCACCCCCGCCCCTCCCCTTTGACTCCACGGGCCTGACCTCCTGTAAGGTTGGCTTGGTTATTTTTGGTCTTTTGGTTGTCTCGTGTTTTGTTTTGTTTTGTTATTGCACCTGTAAGTGAAATCTGACTTTCAACCTACAGTCCTCATCAGCGTGGAGTTGACTGGAGTTAGCAAGAGCTTGAAGCAGCCGCCCCTGGAGAAACAGGCTTCTGCTCAGTGCCCTCCCACACTCACTAGCCCGCAGTGCCTGCTGCCAGGCGGCCTCCAGGACATGACTAGGGCCGTCCCCACCTCCCTGGCTTCTGTGCATTTCAGAACTGCGCCACCGCACCTCAGCTTCCAGGGGGCGTGATTCTCTGCTTGCTGACCACCTGCCCAGAGTCCATGTGCGGGCATTTAGGGGAACAGCTCACACACACTGTGGAGCATAGTCGGAACTGAGGCTAGGGGTTTAACGGGCTGTCCAGTGCGTGGCCCCCAGAGGTGAGGGCTACTCCAAGTGGGGTTCAGTGTGGACCTGCCCTCAAGTTCAAGGCAGGAGCCTATAGTTCAAAAGCCCAATCCTGGGCGCCAGTGCCAAAGAGAACCCCCACCCCATCCATGCAGTCGCCCCAACGGGTGTCCCTGCCCCCGGGGAAGGCGGTCAGCTCTGTGCCAGGATACAGGCAGAAGGTGCTCCCAACATGTGCCCTCGGGACCTTACCACGCAGGACAGTGCCATAACACAGAGGCCGTGCCCGGGGAGATGCCACACCGGTCCACAGTGGCTGCTCCCCTGGGACTCAGCGCCCCTCCCGGGGCCTCGTGCGGGAATCTCCAGCATCCCTCTCCTCTGCACCCTCCCAGCTCCTGTGTCACTGGGTGGAACGCGGGCCACACGCCAGGGCTCGGGACAACGCCTTGCGAGCCGTGGGTGCCCGTTCGTGGCTGTTATCGTCACAGCCATAACAGGAAACTGAAAACAAAGCTGTTTCCCCAGCTCATTTCCCAGCAGGGAGCTGAGAGTCAGGTGTTTCTGTCCACTCACGGCAAATGTGGCCCCCTCCTCCCTCTGTCCCCTCAAAGTGTCCCCCACACTGTGTGACCGACACCCACTGTCCCTCTCAGAGCCCAGAACCACCTGGGGGGAGGTCCCTTTTTGTTCTCCGATGTGTGACGGACCTCCAGGCACTCACATCCCCCACAAGCCAACCAGAAGCCACATAAAATGTGCTCAGGTCCCCGCTCTGGAACGAAACATGCAGGCTGTACTCATCAGTCAAAGCCTGAAAGTAAAGTCTTTCCATGCCGGGGAACTTAAATAAAGGTAGCTGAAGAAAAAATGCCGATGTGCCTTTTTTCAATAATCACATATTACTGAACACATAGGAAGCATTTGAAGAAATTATTTTTTAAGATTTTATTTATTTATGCACACAGAACTGGGGTACAGGCCAGAGGTGCAGGGGCGGTGAGAGGCTTCACCAGAGTGGGGAGCAGAACAGGCAGATGGATGAAGTCCACTGCTGAGGGGAGCAGCGGGCCGGTCAAGAGAGGTCTGCCGCGCCATGTGGTCACCTCAGGGACGGGGATGGAACTCATGCTGAAGTGACTGCAGCTAGTTTGCAGTGCTGCGCTCTAACCCATTGCACCACCAGGGAGGACCCCATTCAGGATATTTAAATAAAGAGAGGAACTCTGGGTTAGGAGCCGTGGTGTCTGACTGACGCGGTTATGACTCCCATGTCTCCCCCCAAGAAGCTGTGTGACTCTGGCCAAGTTACTGAGCCTCTCTGAGCTGGACCCTCATCTCTAAAATAGGGACAGCAGTACACTGTGCAGACAGTGGGAAGGGCCAGCCGAGACGCTGAGGGTAAGTGTGGTACATGCACACACCACAGTGCCATTCAGCACGGGCAGTCACAGCGGCTGTCAAGGCACTGAAGGGGGCTGGCAGAGCGGTACGGAAGGGCACCCCTCCCCCTTCGCCAAGCTGCTCCCAAGCACAGCTAAGCCTCAGTAGCAGAGGAGTAGCCCAGGACCGGAGTGAGGGAAGAGATGCGTCCTTCAAGGGAAAGCAATGAATGCATTGTTCGCTTACTGGACACCTGGACACCCCGTGTGTGCCTGCACAAAGGCAACAGTCATGAATCATGTGCAGATTGCTCCCAGGAGGTTGCACAGAGCAGGAGGAAATGAAGCAAGGTGCTTCGCAAGTCTGATAAGAGAGAGGAGAACACAGTGCTTCTGCGCCTCACCCAGCCTGCATGGGAGGAGGAAGGGGTGGCTGTCAGGAACGGCTCTCTCAAGGGGAAATCTGGTGACTGGATAGGAGCTGGCCAGCCTGAGGGGAGGGGTGAGCTCAGGGCTCAGGAGAGGGAAAACACAGCCTGTTTATCTACCTGCCTAGGTGATGGCGGAGGCCTGTGGGTGGGTGGTGGGATGAGAGGTTGCCAGGTGAGCAAGGCTCCTCGCAGGGGTCCTAGAAGGGCCTCCAGGTGCCCAGCATTGGCGAGGGAGTGGAGAGTGATGGCGGGCATTGGCCTATGAGCCGGGGGGGCCAGCGAAGAGGCTGCTGACAGGCCACAGGCAGGTGGTTGAGAGATAAGAGCGGCAGAAAGCCCGGGCTGGGAAGGTGTGGCCATGCTGTCCAGGCTATCAGGTGGCCCAAGGAAGCAGAAGTCAAAGCTGACACCTAGTTATGGAAATTGGGGAAATTATACAACAGAAAAGTGAAACTGATCATCAGGCACCCAGGTTGTCCAATCTGATGGGCTGCCAGGGGGGTCTGCACCCCACAAACCCACGGACTATCGGACACCATCCTGGGGGCATCGTGTGTCCACTGCCGATGAGTGTGAGATCACTCAGCTCTCAGAGCAATCTGCTCAGCTCAGAGAGCCACCGCCTGCCCGGTCCCATGGATGCAAATTGGGTTGAAATTCACCATCGGTGTCCCTGCTCACCCCTTTTTATAAAACAACTTTATAGAGGGGATAATTTCATATCATGAAATTGGCCCCTGCACACACACAGTTCAGTGAGTTCTACTCCACAGAGACCTCTTCCAGCCTCACCGCATTCCACATTTAGGACATTGTCACCAAAATCTTTCCTTGTCTGTTTTGTCTGTCCAGATGCCTCAGCTACAATAACCCGCAGACCACAAATCTCTAAAAGTGTGCCTTTCCTGGGTAGCTCATTCAAGAGAAATCTTACAGGATGGAGTCCTTTGAACCTGGCTTCTTCCATGCACTAGAAAGCTTTTGGAGTTCACCCACCCTGCAGCACACGTTTTAACTTCACAATGTGCTTCAAAGTGGCGTGAACTTATTGCCGTAAAGTGCCACTTGCGTTTGCTTGCTCTGTGGTTCCCTTTCTCGCCCCTCCCGCGAGCTATTATGGCATCTGTTGTGTATGTGTACATGTGATGGAGTCCATAGCACGCGGCCATGTGTGACTTCACACAGTCGTGTGTTTCAGAGGAGCTAGGAGAATGAAAGAAAAATACATCGGGTCTTTACCTATCCCTAAGTGTTTACCGTGTGGACCATGCTTTGCTTCTGCCCATGATCCAAGTCATCATTCGTGCCATTGTCTTTTCACCTGTGGGACCTGCTCTTGGTACGTACTGCAAGCGGGTCGATCTCTAACAACTCTCCGGCGTTCATTTGGGATATCTTTAGTTCACCTTCTTTTTCAGAAGGAGAGTCTTTCTCTATATATAGTTCTTTGTTGACAGTTTTCTCTTTCATTTTCATTGCATCAATCATTTATTTTTTAAGATCTTGAGGCATGACTGACAGACAGCAGTAGCTTCAGGTGTTCAGCGTGATGATTTGACAGCATGAATTGATCCTCACCCGTCCATTCCCATCCTCCATCGGCCACCCATTGTTTCTGGCCAGAGGTCAGTCATTAATTGTTCTGTGATTCCCTTGGGCACAGTACATTATTTTTTATCTTGCTGCTTTCAGGACTTTCCCTTTCTCTTTGTCTCTCAACAATTTAATTAAGGTGTTAATTAAATTGGGTGTCTTTGGACTTTTGGGGCCTACAGGCTGTGTTGTTTTCCCTCCGAATTTGGGGTGCTTTCAGTCAGTATTTCTTCAAGTGTTTTTTCTGCCCTTTCTCCTTTCCTTCAGATCTTCTTCGCACTGAGGTTGTGGCACGGGTCAAGGACGCGCTGTTCCCTCCTTTCCCTCTCCTGTTCATCCTGGATCATTTCTGCTAGCTGTTTCAAGTTCACTGTCGCTTCTGCCACCTCACATCTACAGTCGAGCACTTAAATTTCACTTATTGTGCTTTCAACTCCAGGTTTCATTCTTTTTTTTTTAAGATTTATTTATTTGTGCATACAGAACTGGGGTACAAGCCAGAGGTGCAGGGGCAGTAAGAGGATTCACCAGAGACAGTGGGGAGCAGGACAGGCAGATCAATGAAGTCCACTGCTGAGGGGGGCAGCAGGGAGACAGGAGAGGTCTGCCGTGCCATGTGGGTCACTCCCGGGCCGGGGGTCAAACTCAGGCTGTAGAGGTGATAGCGCTGAGACTGCACCCCTAGGCCACCAGGGAGGCCTGTTTCCTTTCATTCTTTAAACCCGGTTTCCGTATTTCTTTAAACGCAAACAAGGCATCTCCTTTGGAGCTTTGCTGCTACATCCAGCATCTGGGGACCCAGTGCCAGTCCTACCGATTTCCTTCCTCCTGACCACAGTCACACTGTTTATTGTCTTCGCTTGTCTCATTTCGATGGGTAGATGCCGTGCCAGAGACACTCTGGGCTCTGACTTCCCTCTTGGGCTCTGCCGTTCAGCTGGTGAGCTGAAATTTGCCTGCACCGACCTGAGATGTGTGTTTGCCTTGTGACTTATGCCTAAGGAGGTGTCTGCTCCGTTTTTCATTTTATCTTAACCTGTCCCTAGAGGCCACCTTTGTCTAGGCTGCTTATTGTCCCGATACATGTTGTTCTCAATTTGACCATGACCCAATAAACTTTCCACATTCTGGAACTGTGTGTTAGCTGATGAGCCAATCAGCACTCAGGCCATCCCCAAAGAGCGCCCAGATTTGACTTTCCACTTCTCTCTCGCTTCTCCATGGGCCAGGGAGGTGTGGGCCAGCTGGACTGGGCCCTTCTGGCCCAGCTGGTGGCACCAGAACAGCCGTGGGATGACAGCGCCCCCTAGCTGTCACGCCTGGTGGGACCCCTGTTTAATCCCCAGCTAGCCCACTGGTTCTTTAGGGCCCCAACCATGGCTATCGGCTAGCAGGACCACTGCCAACACACTCACACACACACACACACTCACACACATTTGGCTGGTTGCTGAGATCATCACGTTAACCAGGGACACCGCAATTCAAATGAACCTGCCCTGGCAGAGCCCCGCACGCTGGTGAGACCACATCCCGGCCGAGCTGAGGGGGGTGGTCACCACAGATAAGAATTCCAGGGACACACTCTGTTCCTAGTCCATGCTCAAGGCACCTCCTGGGTGAAAGCGCCTGTTTCCCCTGGGCCCTGGCTGGGTTTCAGGGTTCAAGTGATTATTTGCAACAGTTGGTCCACCTCTTTCTGTGCCTACCTCTTTCGGGAGAAGGCTTGCCAACACTTCACCCCATTGTGGCACGTGAATCCTTCCTAGACTTGGAACAACTGCCAGCACAGCCATGACTGTGACCCTCCCTAGACACCCGCCAGCGCCCTGCTCAGGTCTCCCCGAGTCTGCGTGGACCCCTGTCTACTTTTTCAGACTTAGGTGAGAGG